GGGTCAAACTGCATTCGTTCTCCAGTGTGGATGCATCCCTAGCCTGGAACAGTCAACTGGGGATATTATAGAATCATAGAGCTGGAAGAGACCCCAAGGGCCATCCAGCTCATCCCCCTGCCATGCAGGAAAAGCACCATCAAAGCACCCCTGAGAGATGGCCATCCAGCCTCTGTTTAAAAGCCTCCAAGGAAGGAGTTTCCACCAGACTCCGAGGCAGAGAGTTCCACTGTTGAACTGCTCTTCTTACGGTCAGGAAGTCCTTCTCAATGTTCAGGCACTTCATTTCACTTTAGGCTCACTTCTGTAGTTTTAATCCTTGATGCCTGTTAACCTTTTTAAAAAAAAATATAAATCCTCTTTCTTTTCTTTCCAGTACTTTGTATTTGACTTCCATGTTCCACCGGACGTCATGTTCGACAAAATCATAAAATTGTCGGTGAGTATTCTCTTTTTGTGCACAGTTATTACTACTCTGATAAGGAAAAAGATTATTTTTATATATAAAAATTAGCTTGCAATTTTTTAATCTTCTTTCTCTTCCACCTTCTCTTCTTTCTCTTCCACCTTCTCTTCTTCCTCCTTCCTCCTTTCTCCTTCCACCTTCTCTTCTTCTACCTTCCTCCTTCCTCCTTTCTCTTCTTCTTCTTCTTCCTCTTCTTCTTCTTTTTCCTCTTCTTCCTCTTCTTCTTCTTCTTCCTCCTCCTCCTCCTCCTCCTCCTTTCTTCATCTTCTTTCTCTTCCTCCTCCTCTTCTTCTTCAGCTTCTGCTTTTTCTTCTTCTTCTTCCTCTTCCTTCTCCTCCTCCTGGATTTTCTTCTTCTTCCTCCTTCTCTTCTTTCTCTTCCTCCTTCTCTTCTTTCTCTTCTTTCTTCCTCCTCCTCTCCTCCTCCTCTTCTTCAGCTTCTGCTTTTTCTTCTTCTTCCTTTTATTTCTTCATCTTCTTTCTTTTCCTCCTCCGCTTCTTCTTCTTCAGCTTCTGCTTTTTGGTGTCGATTCGTTCAGTGGTTTATGAGTTATGTTAATCCCACAAACAAACTTTACATTTGTATTTATATAGATGGATATCATGGGCCTCATGCATTCTACCTTTTCCCAGGTGATCCACTCCAAGAACCTCCTGCGCAGCGGGACTTTGGTGGGCTCCTTCAAAATGGATGTCGGCACCGTTTACAGCCAGTCAGGTAAGTGTAAGAGTTGAAGTCCACCTGGAGGGAGGGCCCAAGTTTGCCCATGCCTGGTGTAGATGTATCCTGGTCTGCAAGGAACCCCAAAAGTTGCTGGAAGCTCACCATTTTGTAAGCAGCTTCTTTCCAAATACTTTGGAAGATTTAAGAGGGAAGGATGCTGCCTTCAGGCCTGCAAATCTGCAAAAGTGAAAAGGCATGACATTCCCAAGGTGAGCGACTTCTCTGCAGACACATAGGAGTCAATGTGTGATCATTCTCTGCTAAAAGCAAACCCATGTCACTGAAAACCTTTCATGCCTGGCTGTCTGGCACATTGCAAACCTTGGGGACCATGGAGATTGCCTTGGAGATGCAGGTAGAACACATTGCACTTTCGGTGACCGTTGTATCCAGAATCCATAGGCTAGAATCCTGCAGATGTTGGCTATTTTTGCTTCCTGTGGATTCTCATGTTTGTAAAACTGGAATTGCACCTATATTGCCACTATCATGCGGATTCGCATTGTACATGGGTGCCCATTGCACCTGGAAGCAGCATGTTCCGATGCAGCGGCCACCCCAAGGTCTCTCCTGTCTCCTTGCAGAGCACCAGTTCCACCACAAATGGGCCATCTTGTCTGACCCAGATGACATCACCGCTGGGCTGAAGGGCTACCTGAAAGTGGATGTTGCGGTGGTGGGCAAAGGGGACAACATCAAGACACCACACAAAGCCAACGAGACGGACGAGGATGACATCGAAGGGTGAGGAGGAAGGGGTGATGGCCCTGGGACCTCTTCCCTTTTGACATTGCTAGATGGAACTTTCTGCCTTATCTATCTACCTACCTACCTACCTACCTACCTATGTATCTATCTCTCTATCTACCTATCCATCCATCCTTCTATATCTTCTCCCTTTATCCATTCATCTGTCTGTCTGTCTGTCTGTCCATCAACCCATCCATCCATCCATCCATCCATCCATGTATCTATCCATTCACTCATTTAACTGTCTGTCTGTCTGTCTATCTGTCTGTCTGTCTGTCTATCTATCTACCTTCCTACCTACCTATCTACCTACCCATCCATGCTTCTATCCATCTCACCCCCTATCTATCTATCTATCTATCTATCTATCTATCTATCTATCCACCCATCTATCCACCCATCTATCCACCCATCTATCTATCCACTATCTATCTATCTATCTATCTATCTATCTATCTATCTATCCATCCATCCATCCCTCTATCCCTTTATCCATCCATCCTTCCATCCATCATCTATCTATCTATCTATCTATCTATCTATCTATCTATCTATCTATCT